TAATGAATTCTGCTTTCCAAGAGTTTTACTGGTATAAACTGGTTTAGGTACATGGTTCAGGTGTAACTGTGCTTGTGAAGACCCCCAGGAAGGAGCTGACTTTAATATCGGTTTATTGGCAATGATACCCAACGTTAGAATTCTGATTTTGTCTGAATGTTTTACATCTAAATACAAGATTGTCCGGTAGCATAAAGCGATCGTGACGCGCTGAAGGTATAATAATAAGGTCATGACTTAATATGCTGAACTAAATTAAAACCCCACCAAACCTTATAGACTTCAGAGTAATTTAATTCAAAGGAAAAAAAAAACCCCAAACATTTAAAAAGCTGCTTATATCTAACTGCATCACATCTAAAGTGCCCTAAAGTCATCCTACCACAGAAAATAATATTTGAGGCAAACTAGATAATTAGCTAAAACAGTAGTAATATCAAAAGGAGTTCTGCTTTGTGGAAGATCCGAATAGTAGAATTTTATCCCCTGAAGCACAAAAGAGTGGATGACCTTGTAAAAGGCCTTTCTCCCTTTGTAGCTCTTTCCCCCATGCATGCATAGAACTTTAACTTCAATTACGGTCACCAGATTCCATATCTCAGTAATGCATATTTATTATAAAAATAATATATAAAAAAAATCAGGCATCACCCAACAACTTGTCTATTTTTGTCCTTGGAGTCTCCCCAGCCATCTTGGGGGGGGGGGAAACTAAAAGTGTGATGTTGGGGTAGGAGGAAAGGAATTGAGCGAGGCTGTCTTGGCTGTAAATCAGTTGTGGTAAAAATGAGGTTTGCTTTTTGAAGGTGTCTGGTAACTGAAATATTTTGGGTTTATATGTCTTTGATAATATGGTGCCTATCAAAAATACTGTGCAAGTTGGAACCCACACTGCAGGATGTTTTTCCCGTAGTCATCTTAAAAGATAAAAATCAGTTTATGTTTGGTGGCTAGGAAATAGAGGGGAAAGATGTCAGAAATTCAAACTTATGCATATTATGCAGGGTATACTTTAAATATAATCTGTAAGAGTAAATTGCTCTTTTTTTTTTTTTTTTCTCCAAATCATTCAGAATTTCTGGAAGTACTTTGTTTTTGTGCATATTTTAAATTTCTTTTCTGCTTACTTCTCCAGCAACAGAGGTTAGTGCAGCTTAGATTTTGGTGGAAACACAGCCTGAAAATGAGATTTCAGACAGTCTGAGCAAACTGATGCCAAAAGAAGGGTCCTGTTCCCTGTCCCCCTCAGTACTGGCCTACCGGGGGGGAGGGAAGAGTATTAAGTCACCTGAATCTTCATATGCTGCTTGGCAAATCTCTGGGTTTGGTTTTTAAGCATTTCCCTATACTGCTTCATGGAGGCAAAACCAGCACCTTCCAATCTTTTTTCTACAAGTCCAAATGCTTTCATGACTCCCTCGGACATCAGAAAGAATGAGAAAACAAGTAGGTACCTTGCTTTTAAAACTTAATATTGTGGATCACATAGAGGAGGCTCCGGAGAATAAAAATTAGGTGGTTGGGGCCTACATTTTGTAGTTTCAGACCACCGGTGCAAGTATTCAAACTACAGGAAGAACTGAACATAGCGATGAAAGTTGCATAGTCTCAGCATAATCTGCATTTTTCTGCGCAAATTTTTAAAAGCATTTTAAAAAGGGATCTTGTGTATTCTGGAGAGGGCTATGGTTAAAAGCCTTTCCACTCTGAAAAATGTTTCAGATCTAGGATTATATTCAAAAGGTACCTTCCTCTCCTTAGCTGTTTTCAAATTATGCCTTCTTTTCATTTTTAATACCAGGAGTTTATTTCATTGATTGGAGGTTAATTTTTAAATTTGTACAAACACATGATAGCAATATCAAAAAATATAAGCCTCATCAAGGCTGTGGATGGCAATGCGATGTTTTTTTTGTACCCGCTCTTTCTACCTGAACTAAATTCTGGCTACTTGCTGGTTCTTTTTCTTTTTTTTTTTTTTTCTTTTCCCCTTCTGTCTTCAAGACAGAGCAGTACAAACGGTGTTTGTCTGGATTCTCAATTGTTTGTCTTGCAGATTCTCGAATTCGAGTCTTAGTAATGGATTCCTGTCTGGGAGCAGAGATGGGAATCCGTTTTTTTAGATAAGTGAAGGTAACTAAATGACTGAATAAAAAGGACTTAAGATGCTAGTTTATAGTGCTGCTTCCTCCACCCACCCTTCTCCCTTCCCTGCTCCCCTCATTTTTAAAGCCTCTTTATTTTTATGAGTATTTTAATCTAATTACCAGAAGACCAGTGCAGAAATCAGATACAGATGCTTAAATTAGCTGAGAAAGCAGCTGCCTGAGTTAAGCTGAAGTGATATAAACTGATTGTGGACCTTTTTTAAACGATCTGAGGTGTTCTCTCACGAGGCTCAGGCCACACTCCCAGCTCCTTCAGCCTGGAGAAGGCTGCGGGCAGAGCTGAGTGCGGCCGGTCAGGGCTTCAAGGGGGCCCAGAGGAAAGGGGGGAACAAGCTTTTTAGTAGGGCCAGCTGGGACAGGACAAGGGGGGATGGCTTTAAACTGAAGCAGGGGAGGTTTAGGCTGGATCTAAGGAAGAAATTCTTTGCAGTGAGGGCGGTGAAACCCTGGCAGGGGTTGCCCCGAGAGGGGGTGGAGGCCCCATCCCTGGAGAAATTCTTTCCAGTGAGGGTGGTGAAAGCCTGGCAGGGGTTGCCCAGAGAGGGGGTGGAGGCCCCATCCCTGGGAACATTCCAGGCCAGGTTGGCCGGGGCTGTGAGCAACCTGATGTGGTTCAAGGTGTCCCTGCTCCTGCAGGGGGGTTGGGCTGGGTGACCTCTGGGGGTCCCTTCCCACCCAAAACATTCTAGGATTCTAACGCTACCTATATGTGATCTATGGCTTCCCTATTTAGGTTTAGCACAAACATCAGGAATTTGCAACATCAACACTACCAGTGCACAGTTTCTTCTCATATCTCTGCTTTCTTCTTACATCAAGAGCACTCCAGAGAGGACCAAATCTTGCGCAAGCAAGCTATTTTCAGAGAAGCTAGTTGGGCACAGATCAAGGAAGCAGTCTCCAAGACAGTGAGGCTTGCTGGCAGAGATAGCAGTCTCATATCTAATATAACATGTTTAGCATGGGCAAACATCACGGTGTTAAAACTTCAGGAGACAAGTGTTATAATGTCTGTCTGTAGCACTGACTGCTGACAAAAAAGAAAATAAATTAATACAAACAGAAGAAACATCCAAATATTTTCCTAAGTAATCAAAGTCAAAGATGAACTGTGGGTAATTATGCTTTTACTAATGGAGTTAGATTATCCTAAAAACACCAGAAAAATTCTCTCTTGGAAAGATATATTACAAGCTCATTTCTGATAAGGGGGAAAACGTTCAGATGTCTTCCTCAAAGGAAAAAAGCATTTAAAATTTGACCTACCAGAAGTGTTAAAAATGATGGATTGTCTATGTGTCCTTGACTATAACCTTCAGAATCCTGTCTCCAGTGGACACTTCAATGCTCACAACAATAGCTCTTACAGTAGATTTAAAAAAGAATAGCTAAAGAGTAGCTATTATTAGAATTTGAGTTTAATTTGCAGAAAGTTCAAATATCAGATTCAACAGCCTGAAAAAGTTGTTGCATTACAAGGCCCAGATTATTGCTTTTGGTAGTTCTGGAACAAAAAACAGTTCTATATGAAAAATCAACTGATATATCAGTGTGCTTTTGGTTTATAAGAACTGATGAATTAGTGAAAACATCATGTATCTATGAACTGTAGTTACAGAACTGGGAACACTTGCGGGACTTCTTTCTGAAGAAAATTGCTCCACATTACATCCCCACATACACTAAAAACCAAAAGTGTATAAACTTAATACTGTGGCATTCTACATAACTACACTGAAGTTTCAGTTTGTTTGGTTGGTTTTTTATTTTTTTTTTTTTTTATTATTATTTTTTTTTGAAGTTAAACGCCGTTCCTTCTGCTTTCCGTGGGCATGGACGCCCGGGTGCCCTTGCCACCCTTTCAGCTGTGTCAGCAGCCCGACACAAGATCATAGAATTCTAGAACCCAGCAGCGCCCGAACTTTCCGCCTTCTTTTCAGCTGTCTTCCTGCTCTACAGCTGCCTGAGAGGAGGCTGTAGGGAGGGGGGGTTCAGCCTCTTCTCCCTGGTCACAGATGGTAGGACGAGGGGGAATGGTTTGAAGCTGCGCCAGGGCAGGTTTAGGCTAGACATTAGGAAAAACTTCTTCACCGAAAGGGCTGTCAGGCTCTGGAATGGGCTGCCCAGGGAGGTGGTGGAGTCCTCATCCCTGGAGGTATTTAAAAGAAGGACAGATGAGGTGCTTAGGGCCAGGGTTTAGTGGTGGGATGGCAGGGTTAGGTTAAAGGTTGGACTCGGTGATCTCGGAGGTCTTTTCTGGCCAGGGTGATTCTATGAATGCTCCTTCCTGGCAACATCAATATTTTCACCTTCTTTTCATGAGGATACAACTATAGTCAGTTGGTCTCTGTTCACTTTAAAATCAAGCCTAAGCATTTCCATGTAGATAAGAGAATGCGTAACATCTGGATTTGGGTGAGGAGGAGCGACTGTTTACATGAGGAGTTTTAAGTTGTGTATGGGATGAAATACAGGATGTGTTGGCCCCGAGTCTTTATAGAGGCTCTGAAGGGTAGCAAATACCTATTGCATATGCAGAAGTGGTGTAACTGAGTTTACATGAACACTCGATGACTGCTCTTGCCACGTTGTGTGACGAAATAAGTACCTTCAGCTTCCTGCGTGTGATTACAGTGGTTGCTAACGATAAATAGTTCCCAGTTTTACGCAGGTGTGCAGGTTTAAATGGCACTGGGATTCTTCTGCTGTACATTGGAAAATGTCTCTTGGGCAGAAGTTAAAGGAATAATTACATTGATTTACTTTCATAAATACACAAAGCATGATTTGGTTGTGTAATTTTGACGTTCTTTTATAGGTCAGATTCCTTACGGTTGAATTTGAAGATGCCGTTCTTTGGGAACATTGTTGTAATTAAACGGAATGGGACTGATGGGATTAGTTTTCCACTCACTGCAAGTTCTTGTTTATTTGGAAGGTGAGAATTAGTTGAGTACTTGCATACATAGAAATAATATTAGTGATGTTTTTCCTGTTGATGATATCTTATTTTCAAAAATAAATGTTTGTTTATTTGTGAATCATGTTCAAGGGCGGGAAGGTGGTACTGAACTAAGCTTAACTGTAAGACTAAAAAGCCAAACTTATTTTCTGTTACCTTTTTTTTTTCCCTTGCCAGAACTATTTTTTTTTTTTTTTTTTGAGTTTCTGGCCAAAGGAAATCTGGGGAAGGGATTGAAAGGAATACACAGTTGACAAGCAAATGATGGTATTCTTTTATCTGGAGGTGGTTTCCAGATACTTGGCTAGTGAACAGAAGCGAGGTACATGGCTTGTATTTGACCATCTTCATTACATTGGTGCTCTTAATTATTTTTTTTTTTTTGGTTCTCCAAAACCTCAGTAATGCGATTCATTGGCCAATATCTAGAATTAATGTTAAAAATTAATAAGAACTTATACCATCTCCTCCAATCTTGAAACTCGCTTTGCCTTATGCAGCTGAGTGATCGTGGGGTTTGAGCTTGATCCAGCTATTTTACATTAAAAGATAAACTTAATATACCTGAATGGTATATGTGAAGGCTTGACTAGATGATCTTACTATAAATAGGCTTTAAATAAAATGTTTTTGCTTCTCTTAAACTAGGTCTGCTCAGCACTTTACTGACTGATAGATATCTTAAATAACTGTAATGATTCAGTCCTGAATCAGATTCCATAGCGAAAGTCTATGGGAAGCACTCCAGTGTCAATAATACTGTTGTTTGGCTTCAGCAGAGCTGCCCAGACAGGTGATACTTAATGGTACAAACATTAATTTCTGCCAGCTGCTGTGAGAGGTGTCAGGTGCTTCTGTGAACAGTACCGTTGGCATGCTAGCTGATATGTTTGCTGCCTAAGGCCTGCAGCATGTCAAAAGCATTAGAGATTTGCCTAAAAAAAAGAAAGAAAAAGCCTGTACACTTAGAAACACAGCTTTTGCTTACTAACAACTTCTAAGAAGGTAGAAGTGGCTGTGCAGGTGAGACCAAAGGGCCATGTACCTAATATTCTGTCTCTGAGAGTGATCAGTAACAAATGCCTGAGAGTGAGCAAGCACATGCTGGTGTTTTCTAAAAATATTCCGCAAGTCTTTGGCAACCTGCAAGTCAGAAAACCAGTAATCTCAACCCACCAGGTAGCTGTTGTAAACATATCTCTTTTGGCTCGTTGTGAGCGGCTTTTTCCAGAATTTGGATATTTCACATATTTTTTCTGATGTGGATTCTCTGATGTTGTAGAAGTGTGAGCTCCTGTTATTTTTTGCTGCAGTTGAAAGACTTGGGTAGTTCATTTTCTTCATGTTACCACATTTAAGGAAGTATTATGCTGCTGTACAATTATTAGCTGAAGAGTTGGGAAATCACCTAATTCTATAGCAGCCAGATTTTTCTGTTTTCTGTGTGTCTTGAAACTCAAATTGTATTTTCACCCACAGGAGAACAGAATGTGATATTCGCATCCAATTGCCTCAGGTCTCGAAAGAACATTGTAAAATTGAAGTAAATGAAAACAAGGAGGTAAGATATACGTATTTTAATGACATATGCATTGCATTGGTGCATCTCATCAGGCTGCTGAAATGTTTGTTTTATTTTTAGGCAATATTGACTAACTTAAGTACAGTAAATCCTACGCAGCTGAATGGTGGTTGTTTTCAGCAACCTGTGCCTCTGAAGCATGGAGATGTGTTAACTATTATTGATCGTTCTTTCAGGTAAGTGCCAGTGACAAACTGTTAATGCCCCGATCCTAGAACGCCTTCTGCAGGCAGACAGTGCGGGGAGCTTTGTGGACACAGGCTCTTACTGCTGGCTGAAGATACAGAAGATGGCTGTAGATAAATGGGAAAGCTTAAAACGTCCTTTTACCATCTTCAGAAACAGAAGTTAATCTAGTTTATTTCATATTTTTTTATAATGTCTTGGACCTTCTTCAGAAAGCAGGATTGCTTAAAGATATTTTTTTATCACTTTTATATTGCGTCAAGCTAAACCAATAAAGATAGAATTGTCCAGAGATATCATTTTGATTTTCTTTCAAGGGTAGTTATTTTTAGGGGAAAACTTAGAAGTATTCTGATGTAGTTAAAAGTGTTGTAAATGTGTAAAATGTTGTAAAAGTGGTATGTGTGTGTCACTGGGAGTGGACAACTATTGCTAGGCCATGTATCTTAATAACGGGAGTTTTTTGTCAAATAGCTGATGACTTAATGCTTGTCTCTTCAAATATTTCTTCCAGATTTGAATATCCTCTCCAATCAACTCCAAGAAAGAGGCGTTCTAGATCTCCAAAAGATGAAACACTGCAGGTAATTTTGTGGCATAGGGTTATTTATTACAAGTACATTGGTATTAGTAGTGATGTGGTATTCCATTTCCTTGTTCTGTTGTCTTAGGAATAATTTTTCAGCCATAGACTACCTTTCTGTTTGAAAATACATATAAACTCCTTCAGATAAATACTTTTAAAAACATTCATAATTGATTAATTTTAGACTTCTTAGTTTCTGGTAATAGACACTTAATAATTATGATGTTGCTAATACAGGTAAGCCATTAAAAATTAATCCTTACTTATTTGTGAAGAGGGGATGGGATGCAGGAAGCGCAGAGTATGGGCATTGGTTATCCTCGAACTTGAAATGGGGAAATTTGCCCCAGAAGATGAGTGTTCTTTTTTTTCAAAAATAATCTGTTGTTCTGTGTGCTAGTACTCTAATGTATTGTTGGAATTTATAAATATCAAACTAAGCCTATCTTTTAATAATTTATTTTCATTAGTTTCTTTTCTGTTCTCAGCCAAGTTTTCTCCCTTAAAGGGGATAGTGTTAGTTTGTGAGTACTGTGGCTATTGAAAGGTGTTTTTTCTTTTATTTTCTAGTTATCTTATTTAAATAAAAATCTTCCACCCAGTCTGGTAAGAAGGTGAAATTCAAATGTGCTTGTATATATTCTTATGCTACAGCTGCTTTTAGAGCTGCTAATTTCAATGATAAACCAAGACTTAAGCTCTTGCTCTATAGAGCCTCGAATGTGTTTTGGTCAATGTTCTTAAAGTTTGAAATATTCTAGGATTTCATTTGAATACTTTGAGACTGTTTAGCAAACAATGCATGTACTTCTATAAACCTAGTGGTCTTCAGCCTACAGTTGAAAGCTAAACTGTAAAATATTTGTT